TTCCCTTGCTCGAAAGCCAGTCGAATCCGACTCTAGGGTTGCGGTGCTCATCTCTGTTTCAAAGCCGAAGAGCCAGCGCTGTCCGAAGACGTTTCCGTGGTCATGTGGCCGGCATGACTAAACACCAACGCTGTTACCTTCCCACCAAAGTGGTACCTATTTATCTACTTGCAGTGTCTTATTTATTTAATTTATTTATTTATTTAATTTTATTTATACCCCGCTTTTGAACTGCTAGGTTGGCAGGAGGTGTAACTAGAGACGGGAGCTCACTCCATCATGCGGCACACTCAGGTCTCGAACTGCTGAACTACTGACCTTCCACAGCGTGCAGTTCAGCGTCCTAACACTCCCTTTAATCGAGGCCTAATGGTTAGAAACGAGCGGCTGGAGCTTTTCGTGGCGTGGAGGTGGACAACGCCACCCACTAAATGATCTCTCGTTACACCTCTGCCAAAGGCTTTTGTCTTTCGGTCAGTTGGCAGCCTGTGGAGGACAGGGCTGGATCGATTCCCAGGCCAGGCGTGTCTCCTTGCCCTCCCCTCCCACCCCTCACGTTCTCCCTCCTGTGGAGACCCAGGCCTCCTTGAGCACCTCCCCCTCAAGGGTTGTCAACCTGCTGGGCACGCCGGTAACTTCTGCTGGACCTCCTGGGGCCTCCTGTCTCGGGTCTACCCTGCGCTGGGCCATGAGGTGATTCGGTGTAGCGGTTAAGGGTGCGGACTCTAATCTGGGAGAACGGGGTTTGATTTTCCACTCCTCCACGTCCAGCCGCTGGTGTGACCTTGGGTCCGTCACAAGTTCTCTCAGAGAGCTGTTCTCTCAAGGGCAGTCCTCGAAAGAGCTCTCTCGGCCCCCCCTACCTCACAGGGTGTCTGTTATGAGGAGGGGAAGGAGTTGGTAAGCCGCTCTGAGAGTCCGAGTGAAGGGTGGGGTATAAATCCAATCTCTTCTCCTCCTCCTCCTTGTGGGTGACGACGACAGCAACAAGAATAATAATAATGGGAAAAACACTAGGCAGCTAGTCGGAAGGTGGGAGCAGGTCTGCAAGAAGCCGGTGTGGTGTCGTGGTTAAGTGCGCGGACTCTAATCTGGGAGAACAGGGTTTGATTCCCCACTCCTCCACATGCAGCTGCTGGTGTGACCTTGGGTCAATCAAAAGTTCTCTCAGAGGTGTCCTTGAAAAAGAGCAGTTTCTCTCAGAGCTCTCTCAGCCCCACCTGCCTCACAGGGTGTCCGTTGTGGGGAGGGGAAGGGAAAGGAGTTTGTCAGCCGCTCTGAGACTCCTTTGGGTAGTGAAGGGCGGGGGATGAATCCAATCTCCTCCTCTTCTTCTTTT